TAAGCTTTCCTCATTCAGTGATATGAAATCTACAAGGAACAACAATTTCTTTTGTACCTTTAACCAACTCTTGTGTCTGTTTAACATCCCCCCATCTAGAAGAGCCATAACAGTGCATGATTTTGGTCCTGATTCAAGTTCTGAAGGCTTTGCAGCGAGCATCCGAGCAACCTTCGTAACCTAGCTAAAGCAGAGTTAACTTTCAGTGCATCCCTAGAGTTCCTTCTTTCTGCAAACATATGCTATAAGTAGAATGCAAAAAGGAATAACTCCACAAAATCTTACTTGCATACCAAGCTCCCTAGTAGGCACCACAATCAATGCTTGTACTGCTGACCTTTGACTGTCAATGACTGACAGTATTTGTAGCAGGTATGCCAAGGTTTTTCCAGAACCTGTCTAGTGGGATAAATAGAAAGCAAACGACTTCCAGAATTTCATTAACAGCATAGGAAGCCAGTTGGAAAACGGGACAAGAGGAAAAAGGGAAAAACGATTAAAATGGGTAAGCAAATTGGTCATTTATTACTAAGATCTTGTAAATATGTTTTCGTCGCCTTTACATTTCATCTTTCCAACTTCAACATTTTTTTGATAACAACTTCTACATTTCTCCTACTAGAAAAATTAGACCTTTCAAATGCCCTTTTAACCGTTTTTTTTTTCCTGAAAAACAATGATATGATAGATATCTTTAAATGATGAATTGGCAAGAAAAATTAAGAAACCTTTCAGCCCTCTCTGTCGGAGGTAAGGAGTCGGGCACAAAGAAACAAAAAGAACAAAAAAAGGAAATATGCTCAAATGATAAAAATTTGTGACATCCACCCCCTAGGATCTGTAAGAATATCATCAACTTACATGGTAGTATGGTACTAGAATCATCCAATCTATACATCTATATAATCCCGATCTTAGAGGAGATGATGTGGCACCTCTCTCAGACTAGGATTCTTATTTATCTTTTACCTCTTTTTTCATTTTGAGCAACTCCACTTTTTTTTTCTTTCCTTAATTATATTCATTAGATGTGATGAAACATATTTGGTCCGTGTTTTTGATTGAACAGTGACAGATAAATCCATTATTTTACTCTCGTGATCTCCCACTAATTCCTAATTCTTCACTTTACTATTACGTTTTCTTTGACCAGCCTTACGTTATCTTGTTGTTATTCCTACTTGTTGCAATTACCTTTTCTTTTTTCATCCGTTCTCCAGCCGAGGGTCTATCGGAAACAGGCTCTCTGCCCTCCAGGGTAGGGGGTAAGACTGCGTACATCTTACCCTCCCCATACCCCACTTGTGGGAAATTACTGGGCTTGTTGTTGTTCTTAATTATATTCATTCTTCCCATTTTTTCAAAACACTTAATACATCATAATAATTCGGGAAAAGGGCCAAATATACCACTCTACTTTCATATATTGTCTACATTTAACCTTCGTTATACTCTCGGGCCAAATTTACCCCTACCGTTATACTATCGGGCCAAATTTACCCCTACAATCAGCAAACTTTTAAAAATACCCCCTTAATCTGTTAAGTAATACAAAATCTCCCAAATTCCTTTTATTTAAATCACTTGTTGTTCTTCTTGCTCCATTATTTTCAAAAATTACTATTGATGTGAATGCTAAAGTTACTAGACTATACAAATTATTTATAATTATTTTTAATTACCAATGCACCCATTTCTCTTCTCGTAATAAATAAAATTGGTTTAGAATTTTATTTATTTTTCAATCATACACACACCGTAGAATTTAGTGGGTTTATTTATTGTGTATTATATGCAGCTGATCATCATGTATGTACATGTATATTCAAATATATTTTGTCATTGCCTGGTTAGTATAGAGTTCGATCGACTAACTAAAGAGTGCACAATGTGTAGGCATTTAATTAAAGCAAAGTTGAATTAGGCAATGTAAAGTCTCCGAGGAACTTCAACTTCAATCACTAATACTTGCAAAGTCTCCATATATTTGGTGCAACGAATTCATTAAAATTGTGATGTTGTAAATACTTTTAGAATTTAGAAAAGCTACCTAATTTAGATTTTTCAATTTACTATACTTTGTTTATTCGGTTGTACTATTTAATATTTTTTTCTCTTATTTTTTTTTCTCTAATTCAGAAAGCAGGTAAATGCCAATTATTTCAAAAATAGTGGACCAAGAAGAACAACAAGTGATTTAAATAAAAAGAATTTGGGAGATTTTGGATTACTTAACAGATCAAGGGGTATTTTTAAAAATTTGTTGATTGTAGGGGCAAATTTGGCCCGATAGTATAACGGAGGTTAAATATAGACAATGGATATAGTTTCCTACTACTTGAGGATTCTTTATTCCAAAGCCAGTGGTGGAAAAACTTTGGCAATTAGGCAGATGGAAAGTTAGTAATTCTTCCCAATGACTGGTACAAAGTGACCTATGTACAATTTCAAAGTCTGAATATTTTCCGGCATCTATATCTATGGATGCATAGACTCTCCTGTCAGAGATGCAAGTGCATTCTGGAGAGATCTACACATATAACATCTAATGCTACAAGAAACAAAGAGATTTCTTTGAGATCTCCTGTATCATCTTGAACGAGGAGTCCTTAACCCCAGTCCCAAGCATTGATATCTCCGCTTTTGTGGTGGTTTTGCTGGAGGCATTGTCAGTCAAGCACCCATAAGCAGTGGCAATGGTAAAGGAGAAGATGAATTTACGCTGTTTGAGAAAATAAACGTCAATTGGCAATCAAGAAAGCAGACGAGCTAAGGGAACAGATAGAAGTGCACTGTGAGAGAATTATTCATTTGATGCAGCAGTGACATTGGCAGATCTAGCTAGAGCATAGGTGGAGGATGAGCCGTCATTAAGAGCAAATGCTGGAGAACTTGTGGAAAAGTTACCAATTCTAATCCATAACAAAACTTCAGATGTATGTTTAACAAAGAGGATACCCAGAGGAGGGAGATTCAACCCTTAAATCTTGCTAAGACTCGAGCTAACTTGCTCTTCACCTTCCCGTCCTACATTGAATCCTCACATTCTCTTTTTATTTACGGAATGAAAGTGTATGTTTCTGTTTTTCTGTATATCCTTTTTGTCTGCATCTAATTTGACTATAGCAATTACTAATGATTATTGTTAGACCGAAACCTCCTCTCTTAAGCAATACGAATCGAGTTAAGATTGGTTGGACAAGACAAAAGGGTTTAATATCATGAACTTAGTTGAAGTTATAAACTTGTCAGTTTAGATTATTTTTGTGAGAAAAAAGAAATTTTTAGTTTTTGCGGAAAAATCTACTTTTTAATATTTGGGTATTAAAAGAAGATCATTTCGCAGATTTAATGAAATTTTTCACGACTGTGTGATGCACGGGTAATACACTAGTGATATATAAAAGATGATGTATGTATTATTATAATTCAGCAAATCAAGAATAATGTTCTCCCTACCTAGAGTAGCTCACCATTCACTAAATAAGAGCTGCTACAAGCTTACAAACAATAGAATGGCTTCAAAGAACATTGAAGTTAGAAAAATGAAACAACACTCCTTACAGAAACCGTAGTTGTGAATGTTTCAGAAGCAATGCATAAAACACATCTTAAACAAAAAGTCCTTCTCACACAAAAATATCAAGAATTACGCAGTCCAGTTTCAACAAGTACAACACTGGAAGCAATGTCCCATAAGTATACCTGAGCATGAAGCACACAATCACGTCCCGAATAGAGGAAAGGCAATGCCTGTAGCTGCACTTCTGTAGGTATCACATATCCAACCTCTTCCACCCTGCAATTTGTGCTCCATATATCAGTTCTCCTTAAATCCAACTCTTTAAATAATTCAAGTAATTCTCACTTTCTTTTTTTCCCACAGAGAATCTGAAATTACAGTCCATGGGTTGAATTTAATGATAATAATTTATTATTTCAATCAATTTCTAGTAAACTTTCTGCTGCCTTTTTTACAAAATCCAAACTCCAACCACTCTATATTCAGAAACTTCAACCAGATTAAACTAATGGACGGAGATATTTAATAAATATTGTCTAAAGCTTTACAATTTACAGATTACCTAAGAACTACTTCACAAGCTCAAAATATTAATAATTTCTTAAATCAAAATTTGGTTCTTATGAAGTACCAATTACTCAAATATCCACAGCGTCAATTAAAAACTACTACTTTTGATTCAATGTAAGAAAATTCACACTTTTTACATGCTCAATTTCGATATAAAAGCTCTGTAAGTATCAATTGAATCAATATTTGGAGAAAACTCTGTAACAATCGCTAGTCCTTCCGGAAAATTCCGGAATATCAAGCAATGTAATTCAACAAAGCGATGAGAAAAGAGTTGAGTGTTAAGGAACTGCAGCTAACCGGCGAATCACGTGCTCGGGCACGTGACCATGACAGAGTTCCCGGAGCGTTGCCGTTGATGAATCCTTCGTTTCAGTTCTAGCTTCGACGTCGGAGGTGCTAGAGGAAGCTATCAATGGCTTTTGACGGAAGAGAAATTTCGGAGTCCGATAGGTATAGTTAGGTTTGAAATGGTGGGAGGTACGGTTCAACGATGAAGTCCATAAAAGAGTATGCAGCTGAGTTGCAGAGAAACACGCCATGGGGAAGTAGCCAGTAGGGACTGGACACTCGACAAGTGCGCTGTGAAGACTGAAGATGATGAAACACAATAGGAAAAAAGTACGATGCCGTTGGGAAACGAGAGGAAGATAATTTTTTTCCCTTTCTTATTTTACCATTATAATTATCTACTTATTCTCCAAATTATATCTTAACACTTTTGGATATAGTATTATTATTATGGATAAAATTATAAAATATATATTTTATTTTTATTTCTTAAAAATAATGCAAAGTCAAAAGTTGACAACTAAAAATAAACGAAGTGAGTTAGGGTTACAAAAAAAAAATACGTTAAAAAATCCTTACCTCTATTTTGCACTATATATATATATATATATATATA